CGTGCTTTTAATTTTATGAACAGCATATATGGCAGAAAAATTAATGAATATATTAATATTTTTTCAAATATACTGTATGTGGTGTACAGTATGGTCTTGTTCTCATAAGAACTGAATTGGATAAGAGATGGAAAACCTTTAGGAAACTGGAGCCCATCCAGTTAGCAGACACCAGTGTCTTTTAATCCAAAGATGTATTGAGCAGGGAGTAGCGTTTAACTTTAGTCATTTTATTGCCCCATAAAAAATATCTGCAGAGGCCCAATGTAAACAACAGAAGCCCTCGTCCTGCCAGTGAGTCGCCTATTCATAGTCTGTGGCGAAAGCAGCGTTGAATAAAAACCTTTTCTGAGACAAAATAGTTATGTGATCTATAAAAAAAAAACAGGCAACTATAAATAATCAAGCTTAGATGCCTCCAGTCCCCAGACTCCAGATGCATGACCATGACGTCTATGGCACTGACTGGAAAAATGTGCATCATTTAAAAAGTACGTCTGCTACAGCGTTAACAATGCGTCCTGTCCAACCTGACAGCAGAGCTGATAAACCTCCTCTTATCTCCGCTGCCAAACGCTGCCCCCGGAGAAAGTGATCAAGCCGAGTGTAAACAGAAAAAAAGAAAGAAAATGCCTCTATTGTTCCATTAATTACTGTCTCTCTTTCTATCCCCTCTCTCTCTCTCTCTCTCTTCTGCATGTGAATAGTTTAGTATGTACTTCAAATAAGAAAAACAAAATACCTTCCTGAACTGATCCGAACTCTAATCCTAATTCCAAACCTTAAACATCACAATAACCCCTTAGTCTGTGGGACCAGTCCAAATGCCCCGCCCAAAAAAACATGTCCCCACAAGTATAGCTATACCAGGAAAACATTCAAATGCACACATTTTCCTGCTGTGTACACAGTACTTAAAATGAACAGTACAAGTCTGAGGCCCTAACCCTTACCTTAACTGTTAAAAATGTATGACAAATGTTAATCTGATCAGATCCTAATCCTAATTCCAAACTGAATCCCAGTGGGACAAGTATTCCCTCAAAAATAGTCTTTTCCCAACTACATGTCCCCACAAGTGTAGCTGTACAGGGGAAACAGACATAGACACACACACACTCACATCACTCCTTCCTTATTTATTGCTCAAGACCAAACTCAACAGTGTCACACTGTTGCTTTTACACTGATACATTACGGCCGCCTCCCCTCGTCCTCTCTGTCTGCTCCCTTCTATCTAGTCCTTTGAGAGGTGCTAAAAATACAACATATGCACTCGCTGCCGCCTCCTCACCCGCAGACACACACTTCAGCTCCTCCAACTGGCAACACCCAAGGGAGCCAGGGCTGAGCGTCACGTACTGTAAAAACATCAACCACTTATCTCTCGCTGATGCGTCTCCAGCGTGAGGACAACGCCAGGGTTTGTGCCTATGCAGGAGACTGAGACTGTCAACACACATGCAAATTAGCAGTGAAACATATGTCGGTACTCATGCAAAGCATCTGTGAAATATTTGAAATGTACACGTGCATCCTACATGTCAGGAGACTTGTGCGTCTTCCTTTTTTTTTTTTAAGTCAAATATTTTGTAACTTCCCGATTGAGTAAGAAAAGTGGAAATTACACTTGCACCCTCTAAAAATAAAACTTCACACCCTGCTAGTGCCAACGCAGCCAATTTTGGGCTTTACTTGCTTAGCATGTAAAGCGTATAGCAAGATCACTATACATTGTGTATATATATGTGTGTATATTATATTATAAATAGAAGTAAGAAATGAAAGTTTTTAAAAATCCACGTTTTAAATTAAAGTGACAAAAGTTAATTAATCCACACTGTGTTTCTGACTGTTTCTGATTTTTTTCAGAACA